AAGCAAATTGAGGTTTATATATAGGATATGAATTTTAATATTTTTCATTGCATTTGAGTAAAGTATAATCATGTATTATCCTATATATAAACCTCAATTTGCTTTCTAACGTCAGATATATAAAAATTGTGAACTTATACCGTATTCAACGTTTGATATACTGTAAGTTATTAGTAAATTCTATAATCATTTGAAATAAAAAAAATTATTTTTTATGACTAACCCGGGTGTCCATATACCAGTCCACCTATCCGTCCATTACCGATAGGCGCGGCTTCATTCATACCATTCGCAGCCGGAGTTTCATACCAAAACACTTTGTCACTCGCCCGGACACATGTGACAAATACCTGGATAATAACTGGCAATAGTATCCACCTCATCTTTGTTTAAATTAATTTACTTAAACCAAAAGAAAGTTATTCTCTTTTTATATAATGTCTTTCAAGGTTGTCTTTATGAACATATGAGCATGTTCACAATATGTATGATTAAATTCTAAGTGGGTTAACACTGTTGCCGTAACACAAAATATTTTTGGATTAAATTTTTATCTTAAATATCCTAAATATGTTGTGCATTATTATAAAGTACAATGGTACATTATTACATATGCTGTACAAAGTAATTATAATCTGTATACTATAGTATATAAACTTTAATAAATTAATCCTTGTGAGCTGATTATTGTAAAAATATTTTAGATACAGTATATGGGTACGAGTTTAGATAATTAAATATCATTAAAAAAGTTAATTTACAGAAATGATACCTATTGCTAAATATTAATTGAAATATTTGAAAAATTTTCAAATTATTGAGCAAATTATATGAACAATGTATGAGATATTGGCGCCAAATTATATGACTTCAATGTACAACTACTTCACTCCAGTCATCGTATTAGCGTTGTATGAAATTATTTATATGATACCATCGCAGTGAATATGTCCCGGATCACTACTTGAGGATTTGCTCATAAAATACAGGGCAAAACTATTGCAGAGTTTATGATTTAGTAGTTTAATGATTTTTACTATATGATGAACCAGCTATTTATACTAATTTTTTATGAACAGGATCAATTCATGTCCTACATAATGCGGATTAGCTAGCACGTGCTTGATGATTTTTGGTTAGTACATTTTAATGGAAAATCCTAATTCGTATATAAAACTAGTATTTTTATTCTCTTTTACGAGTACATGTGTACATGTAATTGAATTGTACTAAATAAAACTTTTATACCTTATAATTTCTCAATTGATTGAGCGATGTTACTTTTAATTACCCTGTTTCACGGTGTATAGTGCGCGCACTATCTGAGGAAAAAAGTGATTTTTTGGTAAAAAGTAATGGGGCGCACTATACGATGGGTGCGCATAATCTGAGAAAATTATATAATTTTCAGAAAAAAGTATTTATAATAATTTTAAATTTAGTTTTAAAAATTAAGCTAGTATAATCATTAATTATACATGCAAAATTAACAATTATCACTAATTTTACTAATTTTGTACAAATTTTAGTGAAAATAACAATTAGCAGCAGTTTAATTTCTCATCTATTTACGTATTTTACTACTAATTTTATAAATATTACTTTAAACAAAGTACTTTTCAGTTGAGGCAGTTTGTCAACTCTCAAATATCTCAGATAATCATTTGATAATCAGAAATTCTCTCGTGAGTTAATTTCTATTAATTTATACCTATCTATAAATCTATGTTATATGTGCGCACTATACGGTGGGGGCGCACTATCTGAGCAAAAAACATACATTTTTTTAAATAATGAAAGCGCACTATACGATGAGGCGCACTATAGGGCGTGAAACAGGGTATTGTATTTATGTAATGAATATCTCATTCATACATTTGATAAAATTTTATGTCAAACTTTGTCTTTTCAATTTAAACACAGAATAAGTGATAATTATATGCCATTTATATGTTGTGATAATTATTAAACCAATTTTAAGAAATGTGATATATCACATAAATTAGTTATTGTAATAAAAAATATATTTTATAATTAATAAATTTAAGATTCGTGTGAATTATTTTGAAAGTTATTTAGAAAATTGTTTAAAACATATCTAGTTAGCAATAATACCGGTACAAATTAGGCTTACACGTTATTACAAGTAACATATGAGAGCATACAGACACTATAAATGTTTATAAAAAATAATAGATTTAATTTTTAAATGTTTAATACTTTATATCCAAGGTCAAATCTAGTGATAGCACACAATTGATTAAATGGTTGCATAACTATGATATGTATGTTTATTTTTGTAAAATGCATACCGGTACTGTTTACAAAATTGCACTGATTCTACTAATTAAATAAAGTTTATTATATATTTTATTTTATATTGATGCACTATAATTATATTGAAATCATATGCTAACATGATGTTTGCAATAATCCTGATAATTTTACTCTTATTAGCAATTTATAAGTAATTATAACCAGAATAAGTCGAAAGTTCCGTATGTTTAATAAATCAAATCCATAGGTATAGCACTCGTAATCATGACTACTGGCGCTCGAGAGGTGTTCCCGGCCCTAAACCGCAGCCATTCCTCGGGAACCTCTTAGAGGTGTTCCGAAAGCCATTGTCTGATATTGAAGAGCAACGGTTCAGAGACTATGGACGAGTGCACGGGTATGTCATGTCGTATAAAAAATGTTTTATATTTGCCACAATCTATTTATATATTGTACCTAGAGTATTTATATTGTACAGTATTACTTATATATTATGTCATTTTCAAGTTTATAAACTATACTATAATTAAATACACTTGATAAATTAGAGTTAAAACAGAATTTCTACAATTAAGCTTGGTATAAACAGAAATCATTTTTGTATACAGAATTTTAATACAGAATTTAGCGATTTATAAGATGTTATTTGTACTTAGCATGCTTAATTAAATTAATTAAACTTTAAAACTAATCATCAGTTTCTACGACTTCAATGAACCGGTACTTACTGTCGGGGAACCGGAGCTAATCAAACAGATTCTGGTGAAAGACTTCCAGTCGTTCCACAATCGCCGCCAACTGAGGGTCAGCTCCAAGTACTAC